AGAGTACTTAGTTTTTTCCATTTTCCTTCTAATTTGGAGTTAAGGCAACAGTGGATAGTGGCTGTTCGCAGGGAAAACTTGATCATTAAAGCTCACACTCGCGTGTGTAGCCGGCATTTCAAACTTCGGGATATCAAAGAGCCAGCATCACAAATGGGAAGAGGCGATTAAAATGTGGAGCTGTACCGGTATTATTTGAGTGGAACAATTACTCTCTTCCATGACCAAAACCAAGGAGTTTGGAGAAAGTAGCCGTGGATGTCCTTAAAGAACATAATTATGCCTCAGTTCCTGAAGCTGCAGTGGTGGATTTAGTGTTGGAAAATAATATTCTTAGGAAAGAAATCCACCAAACACAGGAACAGATTGGCAGCCTTATGCTGAAGCAGCGGTTTGGCATTCACCATTTTGCTTCTTCCAACAAGGACATTCGATTCTTCACAAGGTAAGTGTGTGTGCATTGGTGTTTGTAGTATAAAGAATATTAAGTCAATTCAGGAAACTCATCCAAAAGTTTTATACAAAAACAAAAAAGTCCTTAGTGTTTATATTGCAAATTTGATCAAATTGGAAAAACAACCCATGTAACTTCAGTGCCCTCTAGGACAGGGGCGGCAGCACCACAAAATCATTCCATACTTGTAACAAAGGGCAATTGGAGCCAAATCAACCCATCAAATTAAAGCCCAAACTTTTCTTTCCATGTTCTGTGAAAAATTCACAGAACAATAATCCAGAGCAGGGGGGAAAAAAGTGTAATTCTTGAACCCCAAAACATAAATAATGTTTCTGCTTTATGGTAATAATCTCATGTTCGAGTGAATAGTCCCAGTTGGTTTCATTGTCCCAGCAATTTGAGATTTTTTTGATAGATTATTCCTCTTTATGTTTCTGTTAAATGGGTAAATACATATTTGGTGGGTTCTTTAATGAAACCTCTAAAGCAATTATTAGATGGAATAACTTTTTATGATGAGATAAGTGAGGGCAAAAAAAGAACCTAAGAAAAAACCCTGAGGAATTTCAAACGGCGCATATAGACCAAAATGTCCAAAAATGGCTAATTTAATACACTTACCTGGATAAATACCACTTCTGTTCTTCACTTTTTTTGCATTATTGTTGGTGCATATAATGAGAAGACGGTGTAAAGTGGTTTACTAGATGTTTTTGATTGTAGCTACATACTTTCAAAGGAATATTCAGTTTAATGTTACCTGTTTTGTTGTTTGTTTGTTTTTTCAGGTTTGCATCTTATGACCACCTAATGCGTTTCTGGGCATTGATTGAGCCGTTTCTGCCAACTATGATCAGTGTTCAACAAAACATCGACACCACTCCCTCAACGCATTCCCTACAGCCCATTGATGAGTTCTTCCTGTTCCTAAACTTTCTTGCCCTTGGATCCAAGCAACAGGACCTTGCAGACCAGTACGGCGTCCATCAGTCCTCAGTCATCCAGATCATCACAACATGGAGCAACTTTTTATTCACGGTACTCGGCTCAATTAGAATCTGGATACCTGAGAATCAGATTCACAAAAATCTACCAAGAGACTTTGAGGACTACCCTGACACTACAGTCATCATTGACAGCATTGAGCTGAGGTGTCAGTGCCCATCTTCCCCTCTCCTCCAGAGTGAGGTGTCTTCTTTTTACAAATGTCGCTGCACTCTGAAGGGGCTCATTGGGATTGCACCTCACGGGCCGGTGACATTCATCTCCAGACTGCACACAGGGTCCATCAGTGACGAGCAGATCACGCGTGAATCTGGTCTCCTGGCCCTCTTAAAACCAGGGATGGCTGTCATGGTAGACGGAGGCTTTCCTATTGACGACATCGTACCCTGCAAGATTTACAGGCCAGAATTTCTCTCTGGCGGGCCTCAGATGCCTGTGGGGGAAGTGAGGAAGACGGAGGCCATAGCACGTCTCAGGGTGCACGTGGAGTGCCTCGTTCGCCGGGTCAAAGAGCACAAGTTGTTTGACTCTGAAATTCCCCTAGGCGTTTTTGGGATTGTCAACCAACTGTACACTGTCGCTTGCCTACTCACAAATTATGAAAATGCCCTCTAGCAACTGCTTGGCCAAAGAAGCCTGACAAAGTATGTTGCATCTTCACTGTTCATTTTGTAGTACTGTTTGCATCTGCCACAAAATGAATTCACTTTTTCAGAATACTCTGCATGTCACATACCTTTTCTTTTTTCCGCCTATATCTCTGTGTTTATATCAAGTATTTGCATGATATTACATTTTCATCTGTGGTAGGATGCTGCTGTATGCTGCGAGCGTGACACACAGCGAGGCTGTTGCATAAACATATCATGTGGCTACTCTTGTTATGATGGGAAGGCTAACTCAGCATGGCGGAGGCAAAGAGCAGAAGATTCAAACCACAAATTAGGCATAAACAATCTACCACATCCAATTTTTTCCTACAACTATCATAAAAGCCAGAATATCAACACAGATTTATACTATAACTCTCACATATTGTGCACCAACATAGTAGAACATATTAGAATTTGACAAGTCACATGATGAATTTGACCGTTTTATAATAAAATTTATGTGACCCAAGATACTGAGAGAAAGAATCACATTACAACATGTAAAAATATGCATATTACACTACTTGAGGCATGGTGTCATGACTTTTTTCCTGTGACAACCCAACACAACTTAAGCTAGAACATACGGTGGGACTCAAAACGATCCACACTCATTTTAAAATAAAATTTTTTTGTGATGTATGAAACGAGACAAAAAGTTAAAAAGTGGTTTTGAAACTACTTCCACCTTTAATGTGAAGCATATACTTTTGGACAAAAGAAAAACGATTAGCCTGGTATAAACACCCTTAGCCTGACACTTACATGCTTGGGTTACATGTGATGTGAAAAAAGTCAATACCACGTCAAGTGTAGCTTTCTAGCAATGCCAGTTATTTGTGGAGAAAAGCCACTCAGAGCATGATGCCACTACCCCCATGTTTGTAGGAATGGTGTTTTTTTGTTGTTTGTTTTATTTGTCCATGTGACAAAGTTACCTTTTGGTATCCCCACCCAAAAATTTATATTTGATCTCATTAGAACCTCAGAAACCAACATTCAACAAACTTTTGGAACACTTTTTGAGATCCTCTGTGAATTACAGTCCAAAACAAAGGAGCATTTGGTGAGTCTGTGCTTCGTGATGAGACCACAAGCACTTTTATCGAGCTTATATCTGAGATGGATTGAACTATAACATCATGGGACACAACATGATTCACTTTCCTCTGCTTTATGGGATCATTTTTTAGCTAAAAACATATAAAAGGTGGATTTACGTCTTTTTTCCCCATATCCAAAAAAACTGATGAGAATTAGTAAAAAAAAAAAAAAAAACAGCATTACACAGGAGATTGCTTGCAGATTAACTTTAAAATTTCTATTCACTGAAAATAAATCAGTTTTTTTCAGCTCCACAGGCACAAAACCCACATGATATTTTCTCTGAACTCAGTTACTGGTAAGAAACACAAGTTTTGGTTTGTTTTGTTGTTTGTTTTTTTGTATAGAAATAAATGAAGAGTGCATTCGTCTTTTGCAAACTCACATGTAACGGCAGAATCAAATGATGTGTTGGGAATTATGTAACCTTAAAACACAGGTTTTTCTGTGAAGACGAGGAGCAGCTGTGATGTCTCGGGGCCTTTTTGTCCAAACCACAGAGAAATGGGTGGAAAAATCAGGGAGACACATCCAGTAAATAAGACCAGAGATGGACGGAAACACGATGGGAAAAAAGTGGAGGGGCGACTTCTGACAGCTATAGGGTGAGAAATTCTCACCGGTTATTCAATGACCAACACATGCAAATAATTTCACATCTAAACTCGAGGGTCAATCTAAAATCTTGTAATATGAAAGTCCTGGGTAGCAGAGTATTAACTGGAGAGGTTGGTAAGACGTCATGTTTACAGTTTACCACAAGCCATGTGCTCCCACTTATTTTCATCATGTGACAGCAAAACTAAACTTTTTCACTTATGTAACCTTATGTTACTATTATTGCACATCATGGTGAGCAGCACACCATGTCCACTGTGAAACATGGCGGTGGCAGCATCATGTCATATGTCAGGACGCATGACTGAGGCAGAAGGGCCACCTTTGAGCCAGAGCTTCAATACTGTGGTTAGCATCAAGGAACATAAAATGAGGAATCTGCGGCGAGAATTGAAAGTCACTGCTCGCACATTCTCCAAACTTTCTTTGCAAAGACGAACTAGCAACCACAACGGTTCAGAAACAGGGACAAACTGACTGTAAAAGACTTGCACCTCGAACTGCAGCAAAACGCGACTGAGTGTTGACTCAGGGGGGCCTGAACACTTTCACATTTTATTTGTAAAGGGGGAAAAAAAAACACACACACATATCCTAGATTTTCATTGTGAGATTATAAAGCAAACACATTAAATCCTGCTAAAATATGTACACGTTTCGGTGGTAATATGACAAAATCTTTAAGAGGTGTAACTAGTTCAAGAAGGCCCCTGCAAACATCATTGTGTAGTCCTCAAATCATTGCATGATCCACTGCATAAAATCAAACAAGACAGTGTTTGACTGGCATCTTCAACAGGTTAGTAAATTATGAAACACACACACACACACACACACACAAACAAGTGCAATTATGCGAAGTACATAAGTGGTCAACAGCTGGTTTGCATTTGCATCAATCTGCTGGTTCTGTTTTTCATGACCTGTTCAGCTCCCCTCACTGTCCTGTGCAGGGCCCCAATTGGCATTGAACTTAGAGCTGGTGGACTTCATTTCCTCCGTGGTTCAGCAGAATATGTTGGCGGATCTTTGCCTTACAACCACATCCATCATCCTTCCGACACAACAGCTTAATCCAACCTTCAACTGGCACTTCTCAAGGCCACGGCAATAACCTCTCGTCCTTTTTGTCCCACACACTTCTGTGTAAATCATCCTCAATAACAACCAGTCACGCCTCCTTCCGTCTAATGACATAGCTACACAGTCTGCGAGTGCATGATGAACAAATGTCTCCCTCTCCACTTCTGATCTTCTTACCCTCTATCCATTCAGCTGGCCGAAGACAAGGAGCTTTTTGTACAGAACGGGGAATCACAGGACTCACATGCTTCAGTAAGGAGAAACTGAGAGATCGCAGCAGATGATAGACTTCCTCAGAAGAGAAGAAGACTGGCGAGGAACGGGCTGGAGTCAGATTTGGGGCTGGACGAGGTAACTCAGAACCGCGTGAACCGAGCTGGACTGGGCTCAGAAGGACTACCTGAAGATGGAGAATGACGGGACAGAAGCCAAGGAGAAGGTTGAGGATCTGCCCGAAGGTAGAAACTTATATAAACACGTCAGTAGCAAATTCTCACAATCCAGATTGGTTATATATATAACTGATGGCTTCATGCTCTTCAGGCCATGAAGCTTAATACACTAAAAAGAAGTCCTCTGACTTCTTTTGTGCCAAGTTTCATTAGATTATCTTGCTTTTCAAATTAGAAAGTTGAAATAATGTAAAGTAACAAGAACTTTTTTTTTTCCTTTCCTTTAAATGAAAACTTTGGTCATTTAAAGTAGCAAAGCCAAAAGTTGTAATGTGGCAAAAACAATATGTTGTGTTTAGGATTTACAGACGCTGCTCATATTTGAGAGTTGCTAAAATACACAATATTTTATTCAGATATTAAGTATTTATTAAATCTTGCTTTGAGAGTTATCTGACATGTCATTTCTTTTTGCCAGGGTGTGAAGTTGGTAAAATATTTCTCCATTTAGCGGGCAATGAGAACTCACAGTGTCCAATCACAACGCTGCAAAGAAATACATCTACTTATTTCCATAGTTTGGATTTTCAATCCAGTGCATTAAAGGCAAATTTAAAACATTAAGATAAGAGGATGTGAGACAATATTCTCATTTTTTCTTCATACTTGAAACAAAACAAACTTATTATGAGAATTTGCAGTTTGTAAGAAAAACAACACAATACAGCAAACGTGTGGGCATTTTTTTGTCCAACATGGTGGAAACTTCATGCAATCATAGCTGGATTTTGAATGTAGGGCAAAAATATGAAACACAAACATCCTGGATCCTTTGGAAAGGTTCCAATTCATGAAAACAGGAGCCCAGAACTGAAGAAGCATGAAGATGCAATATGCAACTGGGTCAGCGTTTCATGTCACCAAGGGGTCAATTTGCTTGACTTGTTTTTTGTGCCTTATGGCCGTTTTGCATCTTCTAATTCTATGAATTATCTCAAGCTAAAGGATCCTGTTCTTTCTGTTTCATGTGTTAGCCATGTCTGCCGTTACCAAGCTCCTTCTCGCGTCTTTCAAAAGCTGTTTAACAAAATTACGATTATGAGAAAAACATTGTTGATATTTCTATATAAAAATGAGCCTTTATTAGCTTGCCTGTTTTAACTTTACAAAAAGAAATTTATGAATATAATGTTGAAAACTAAGATCAAAATGACCTTCACTGCAAGTAAAGAAGACTTATAAGCCATTGGCATCTCACAAGCAGCTTTTGATAATTACCTTTTGCTAACAAACTTCACTTCCGATTCACTTACTGCAGTAAATGGTGTCCCTCAGGTATGTGTCATTGGAACACTTCATTTCATTCTCTGTATCAGTAATGTTTACTAATTTTTCCATTTAAATGTTGATGATCATAGACATTTTTATAGAGTTATTTAGAGTTTAGTATCTGCAGTAGGCCTGGCTCTCGCTCAGCTGCAGCTGGCTTTTAATGTTGTACAATTAAATTTCATTGGTATAAAACTTGTTTTAAACTCACAGGAATCAAATCTCATGCTTCCAATTAGAAAACTAAGCCAATTAAGTTGACACCATTTACAGACCCCTGTTGCTGTCTGTACAGACTTCAGAAAAAGAAAAAAACTATTTAAACTCACTGTGTCTCATAGACATTGACATGAAAAGGAAGACTTTTGCTGAGGATTTTTAAAAGACTTACGGGAAGAGCAATCTGGCTTTAGATGTTTTGCTTAACTTATTTGAACACAAAAACTGAAAACATTTGTGTGTGCTACGATTGTTGTAACTGATTTTTTAGTTAATTTATATCCCTGTCCAGGACACTTAAAAAAACTGATTTTTCTTAACTTTTTTTTTTTTTTATCTCAACGACATTTAAAAAAAAAACACAGCTCCTATAAAATAAAATCACACGTTCCTGCGTACTGGATCAATAATATATACATATATATTTTTTGATATTTATTTGAAATCTCCGGGTTGTCTCAGGACAATGGCACAATGCGACATCTTGATGCCAATTTTCTTCAGCTGAAGCTTAAGTGAAGCACACGACCCCAAGTCGCCACAGGAAATTTGACACGCCGCGTTCCCACAGACAGAAAGGCTTGATTGTTGAACACTTGCTACGCTTTCTTTAGCTCACGCAGAGACGTGCAGTACGTTGTGCCAGCGGGCTTAGTCAGTTACGCATGATAATGTGTCATGCATATTTGAGATGACCCTCTGCAGTTTTGACAGTAGCCCCAAACTGTGCTGTGGCCACAAACGGCAGCATTGTGCGGCGATCTGTTCAAAAATGATTTGCATTTGCACATAAAATCCTTCACTTTTTGATTTAGTTGGAAGTCGCAGACTTGTCGTTGACGATCACATTTCTTGGAAGGAAGAAAAATGTTTTTTGACTAATAAGTGGCATATTAAAAATATCAACAAACTTGTGCTCCGACTAGCAGTCAGGGATCTAAATCTCTTTCCCATGACTGCTGAAGCAAACCCTCAACTTCTGTGGAATAAAATATACGTCATGGTCTAGGGCAAGCAATTAAACCACAATAAAATCCAGAATGTGTTGGTCTGTTTTAATAAGCGATACATTTGTTGCGGTTGTGGTTGATTACTGTGTGGCACTGATCAACAATCAGTTAACTGATTGTTTAAGGACAATATCAATGTGATCTCAGGTTGATGCTTCATGGAGAACTGAGCTGCATGCACAGGCACCAACAGAGTAATACATTGCTTAAATCAAAGCAGTACTTTTTATCATAAACTGCGGACTTTGAGGGAAATGTACTTCAACGTTATTCTCATGCTTAGAAATCCATTTTAAAAAATGTCAAACGTGTCTTATTATCTACTGTTCAAGTGATTCTGAGTCTGCCGTTTTCATCAGCTGCCTAATAATAAGTGAATCTATCCGCTGAGGCCATAACGTCTTTTTTGACTATTTAACGTAAAAAGTTACAGATAGGCTTAAAGACGAAGCCTAACAGTCAAATTTATAGTTTGTCTCTTTGACTGTTGATGTTGTAGTTATGGTAATAGAAGGATGTAATTACCAAATAAATCATTTTCACATTAAATACTGAAAACAAGTTAATGAACAGATTTTTTATTTTATTATTTTATATGAAATTAACCACCTTGCAGCTAAACGAAAATTACATTTAACACGTGGCAGAATGTTATTTTTAAAGATGTTAAAGTATTGAATGCAGCATAATACTTTATTCCATGCAAACAAACACAGAAGTACACACATACATACATTAATAGAACTCATTAATATATCAAAACAAACCGTGATTTTAAAGCAGATGTACATACCTTACCCTTTGGGTATGTTACACCACTAATATTGTTTTTAATATATTTAAATATAATTTCTACATTTGTATCTGTAATTATGTGTGTATATGCACATAAGTAAAGTATTAAGTTGGATTTAATTCATGTGTTGTTGGTGTGGTCAACACTTTTTATGCCTGCAGCAGCCATGCAGGCATTGGGAACTCTTCAACATCCCAAGTAGAGTTCAGATTTCAGATTTTATATGTTTTTTTGTTTGTTTGTTTGTTTGTTTGTTTGTTTGTTTGTTTTTGCCAGAATGTTGAAAATAAGATCCTGGGTTCACATTAACTGCATTATTAATTCTGGTCCAGATGGGTGTCAATAGTACTGCATGGTACACCTCCAATTCTTGGTATTTTGCTGCCGATTTACATTATTTTCCTTCTTGCAGATACAACAGGAGGTGTGGAGGAATGTCCCCAGGAGATTTCACAGGTAAATAAGTAAAGAAAAAATAGTTGTTGTGTCCCAAGTCAGGTATTTCTTTAAAGCTTACCATAGCTTAAAATAATCACTGACTGTGTTTTATCTAATAAAGGAGGTTCAAAATCTGCTCAAGTAAACCTTTGTTAAATTTCTACTTTTGTCGACTGAGGACTTATCTTCTGACAGGAAACAACTGAGCCCATCAGAGGTGACCATATGTACATGAAAAGCAAACATTTTTGTCACAAGTTGTAACAAAAAAGTCAATCTGTGGCCATTCTTGCCCTGTGGCTCCGAGGTTGGAAACTGTAGTGACGTTTATTGGATAGCTGAACTGTTTTTTTTTTTTTTTTCTGAAAACAGAAGGGGAAAAAATTTCATAAAATTCACATAATTTTTAAAGAAAACACAATCTATGTGGGACTTTCATGTCAAAAATGAATATAAAACCATTAATCTATGACTTAGCCACCAACCACAAAGTAGGGGGAAAAAGAACTTTGTTACCTTTACACTAAAGTGGAAGGAAGAATGGACTGAGGCCTGCTGGTCAGTGTTTATGGGTTCTGCCAACGTAGAGAAACTAAACTTTATGTTAGTCAAAGATAAAAGCACAAACGGAGACATATGGAGAACTTCCTGAAAACTCGTCCGATCTTCTGCCTCCAGGTATTGGGATGCTAAAGATCAGTGTCAGCTCTCAGAAGGAAGAAGCAAAGGCAAGCAGGACAGACGCTCTATTGAGCCTCCTGCCTGATGCCTTTCACATGACTGAGAGCAAGGACAACACAGAGAGATGGAAAGATAGAAGGAAGGAAAGAGAGCTGCCTGGCCCACGTAATGTTCCCATGAGCTGATTCACTTATCCCCACCAAATAAATTCAATCAGTGACACATGAGAAAACTAAGAATGGAACCACAGGAGAAGACCCGAGTGGAGAGAGGCTGGTGCTGATATAGGATTAGTGTAGGAAACGTCGGCTTTAAATGAAGGAAGGCTGTTCGTACTTTAAGTCCTTCACTGGAAAGCCTGAATGAGAACAGACAAAACCTGAATGACCCGTATACTCCAGAGGGAAACTCCACCAAACTCTAGCAGACACAGTTACGCGGTTACAGAGACTGTGAATTGTGAAACAAACACTTTTTTTTTTCAAAGCCATCAAAAACACTTAGACTATATTTTACAAAATAGAACCATAAAAACTAAACAACTGGTCATTAAATCAAAAAGATTTCCCAAATCACCAGGACCAGTGGCGGTTCTTACATGTATCGCTGCCATCGGGCAGCCTCCCTAACACACACACGATTTATAAAGTAACGGAGATGTCAGGAACCAACACCGTTGAGTTCAAATAAATAAAGTGATAAAAACTAGGAACTCACAATTCTCACTGACAGTAAACATGTTTCACAAACTGCTGTAAAGAATCTGTCAAGAAGGTAGAATCATTTCTGGGTTGTTTCGATTCCTGGTCAATCTGTAGCTGCTCTTAGAAGTGTAAAAATAAGATATCAGGTCTTTAATTAATCTTCAAGTATTGTGCTTTGAATCAGATACCAACTTCCATGGTATCAGCTCATGATGTGCTCACAGGTCTGTAAAGTGCAACTAACCCCCCTGTGAAAGCTAAGCCCCTCCCATGGCAGGTTTTGAAGAATCTCAGCAAAGTGGGCGGAGCCAAGAGAAGAAGAGTGGAAGAGGTGTGGACAGGAAGAAAGAAACACTGCTGATTACTTTGTACTTTGTCACTATGTTTAGAAAACCTTCCCTTTTTCCTTCCTGGTGACACGCCCCCAGACTGTGACGCTCTGAGCTGAAGGCCAGATTACCTACATCACCATACCACTTCCCCTTTTATGCACAGTGCTTGAAAAAAAAAAAAAGTGTTTCTTTATATTTACTGACATATTGTTAGTTAATAAAGTTTAATCACAGAATAAGAACTTTTCCATAATTTATACATATTGATTTATACATATAGACACTTTATTTAATTACTAATCGTTACTGCTATTGCTTGTTTCACTGTGACTCTTCCTTTAACCTAATCCTGGGAAGATGACGTTGACCTTTCTCCATGTGATCCAGGTGCAGGGCCTGCTGGTGGAGCTGCGCGAGGGGCTCCGCGCGGCCGTGGCCGAGCTGGTCGAGCTGCGTCAGAGGGACCACGTTTTGGGGGAGAAGCTCCAAGCACATCAGACTGAAGTGGATGATAAGATAATGGGCCTCAAGAACTCGCTCAACACATTTAAGGTGCAAGACTGAGTAAAACAGAAACATGTGCAGGTTCTATTTTCGGAGACGCAGGATTCTGTAACATGATTTAGAACACAAACTGCAAACCAATTCAGTTCAGGGTGAAAGTGACTGCCTGCTGTAGATTAAAAAGGGCAGAAATGTGTGTCTGAAACTCGTACAAAGTTTAAAACCATCCCGTAGTCATAAAAGGGGTTGAGTGGAGCCCGCGCGAGGATTTCACCCGGTACACGTTCCCAGCGCGTGCGTTTTTTTTTTTCTTTTTCTTCTTTGTGGTTTCGGAAAATGACGGTTCACTACTGTTACTCTCCCGTCGTCCCGCCATGGCATCTGCCTCGCTCTTCCAGCTCGTCGGGCTAACACTGTAGGAGGGGTTTAACGTGTGAGTTTACATATTTTGGCCTCCATTGCAATACTTTCCCAAAGAAAGTAGTTATCCGTCCGTCCAACACAGGGGGAGAGTCGGGAACCAGATTTAGAGGAGTATTACTAAGACCTCTTTAACTTTATCACCTCTTGTTATGTTACAACCACAAACTTTAATGCATTTCATTTGAATTTCATATTATAGGCCAACACAAAACATAACATAGGAAAGAATTTTGACAGGAAAAACACAAAAACACTTAAAGATATCAGAAGTTTGATGATATATCAAACTTAAATAAGTATTGGCAATATGGACGGATCAATATTTAGACATCTATACTCATTAGTATACTCCATCGCCTGACTGCTTTGCTCATTGGTCGTAATAGAGATGATTGTTCACCAATGTTCCCTAACAGACCTTCACAGAACATCTGGGATTATACTGAGATTAAATTACACTCATTTTACTGATTAGATGATACTGAAGGCAATTGGATTCAGATTCAGATGACTTTTATTGTCACTCAACATAACATCAGAGATGCCCTGCAGACCGAAATTACGATGCATATTAAGTCACAAACAGAAACCAGCTGGATAAACTATAAAAGAAGAATAAAAGAATAAAATAGAATAAGAACCAGAAAACAAAGGGGGGAAGGCACAATAAATATAAGCAACAATATGTGCAAAACAATCAAACTCAGATTAATAAATAATGGTAATTGTTATGATCTTCTTTGTTGTGGTCATATAAAAAGCCAGTAACCAGTCCTGCTATCTGCTGCAGATTTTCATTTCACTTTCAATCTACAGAACACATAATTAGTCTACAGCAACCGGGCCAGTCACATTTCTACATGACATCTGTTCACAGGAGGAGCTGAATGTGGCGTTGTTCCACATTAGAGATATGTCCAACAGACAAAGGGAGGCACAGAGGAGGATGGAGCTGCTGCAGATCGAAAGCAACAAAGATATAATTCCCCTTCCACACAGGTAAGGGTGCAACAACGTAATGTACCTCCTGATTCATGTGGAGATCATTTTTCTGTCATTCTTTCATCTAACCCTGACCTTCTACGCTTATGCTGACCTACAAGGTCCAGCAGCAGGAAGAGTTCCAGGTCAGACGTGCTGGCATCGTCCGGGGACGAGCACATCTGCACACCCAGCCAATCAGAGCTCAGTGTTTATCAGACCTTTTTCCCGACTCCGCCTCAGGGCGAGTCTCCACAGAGGAGCAACACGTCTACACAAAGTGAGTCTCTTCGCCTGTGCAAAAGTTCATCCATTCTTGGCAGTCTTGATCCTCAAGCTTTCTGGAGGCCTTTCAACCGTCGTCTTTGGACTTTGGTTGATTTTCCTGTTATTTTTGTTCCAGTCTTTTGTAACTCATCTTGACAGAAAGATGCAGTTTGTGCAAAAAATAACAAAAGAAGGAAAGTGGAGGGAACTGGTGGAAGTGTTAGGCCTAAAATAACTGCACAGCAGATGACCACTGTTATCTAAAAAATGTTTTAAAATTAACATTAGCTTTTGAGAAAAGACCTGAAGCAGGACCAGAGAAATGCAACATACTTCCAGGAAAAAATATGAAAACTGTTTGATCATTTAAAAAGACCAAAATGCACAACAATTGAGTTAAAAAAAAAGTTTGTCCTTTCAGATTCTACTTTTTACTTCATTACATAAAAACACAAAATAAATAACGGCCTTTTGATATTGATTTGCATTTAAAATGACTTTATTTTCAGTTTCTCATATCATACAGTTCGAGTTACTGACAGAGGCATAACAAGCACTTAAATACATGGACATGTTCTTTAAAATGCCAAAAAGTCCAATTTTACTGTTCCGTTTGGCCTCCAGATTTCTGTAGCTCAGGGTTTGAAACTGGGTCAAACAAATTGGTAAAAACTAACAAAAAAACTTTTTTTTTTAAAGCACTGTTATATATTGGTAAATATGACCAGACAAAGTATAAAACAGGCCTTTATCACATTACTGAACTTCAGCTTCGAGTTTATTCATGATTGGTCAAATTTGAGGTAAAGGTTTTGTACTCCAATGTCCAGAATTTTACAAAAATTTAAAAAGAAATTTAGAAATATGGGCTGGGAAAAGCACAGAGTTTCTACTTCACAGAGAAGTAGTTCTTAAAATCACTTAGTTGGTGATGTTTTTTCCCTATGTCAAATATAACTGGAATGTTATTTTTAGAGTCCGGTTGCTTAATGAACAGAAAAACTGTAATGGTCTGGAAGTGGAGCTATAAGGATTGTCAAAAAATAAAAATCACCCAACAAAAGGCTGGAGAGATAAAGTCTGGCTCTTTTACAGCAACCCATAAAGACACGAGGGACGTATTTAGCATAGATATGTATATTTTCCTTTTGCTCATGCTCATGTTTACATGTTACAGCCTCTACTTCTGACCAGGAGGCTCTGCAGCAGCAGCAGCAGCAGAAATCTCCGTCATGGGGAGAGAAGACAAACAACAGAGACCGGATGGAAATCTCCAACAATCAGACTGAAAACAGTAAGAACAATCTCTGTAAAACTTCTACAAACTATTATCAACCACAAACAAGTTAGCCTGTCATAAGCAGTGGCACTGATGACCAAAAAAATTAAAAATTAAAAAGGTGTTGGTGAAATCATCTGTTCCTGTTTTAAGATCTTTCTTCAGCTTTTACATACAAATCAGAAAAACAAACGTTTTCCACAGAAAAAAATATACAAGAAATGGCCATTTAAAAACGACGAATAACAATGAATAAATACTCAATAAAGTTAAAACTAAAGCCCATAGCTTTTAGCTTTCCATTTAAAAATGTTTACCTGAAACTAAATTTAAAACAATGCAAAAAAAAAGTCTAATAAAATCTGAAGGATGCAGTTAAATATATAAAGTAAAACTCAACAAAGGCATATAAATAAATAACTTCAATAATAGCAATTGAAATAATAATAATCAAAATAATATTTAAACAATTTTATAAATTGGTATTGTGTACAATTAATGATTAAATAATGAACTAAAATGCTAGTGATAAATGAAATAACCATCTAAGGACCGAGCTGATTTGTTTGTAACTAATATCAGTGTAAAAGTAAGTAAAGTATCTGTGTCATTAAGTCCAAACTTAATGAAAGTTGCTGCTGCTGTTGTGTCATTTTAAATCAGTTTTTTTTTCTCACCAAAATGAGGAGATTCTTTCAAATAATTTCACCATCTATTTGGTATTTTTAGACTTCTTACTTGGGAATCTTGAGTAGCATCGTTCTGAAACAGAACAAGTCCTCGAGGTTACAGAGTAAATGTGACTATAGTTACAGTTTGTGTTGGATGTTGTGTTTTTATACGTGCAGATAAGCGACAACGGGCCGCGCTGGAGCTGCTGGAGTCAGAGAGAGTCTATGTGTCCCATCTGTCTCTGCTACTGAAGGCCAACATCTCCTTCAATGGATCCGAAGCTCCAACTACGAAGGACAAACGGTAGCACACTCCTCAAAAAAATAAATAAATAAAATAAATTGACAGAAGGGACACTTACCGAATAAAGAGGCTGAATCAAACATTTGACAAAATAAAAGCCGTGTTTTGTTGACAGACGCTTCAGTCCAGCCACATTTCAAGCATCACATTCCCAAACTGGCCCTCTGAGCTAATTTAAAGGCTTACGGTGATGGAACAACAGGAAATAGATAAATCAAATAAAAGAAGGTCATAAACACTACTGAGACAGAGCTTGCTATTGTAATCGCTGCAGCACACACGTGCTACCAATGAGGAGAAGACCCAATGAAATGCAGCCACCGCTGGACTCGGACAAATTGTGTTTAAAAACGGAGGCTTTCGCTTTAACCTGCTTAACCTGTTGCTGTTTGTCGCGCGAGCCGCTGAAAAGAAAGACTGTTCCCGCCTCGGTCAATAAGGAACTCCTGGATGTCGATGAAGACGAATGTCTGGGCCACGTCAGATTTTCTAAATGACTTTAACCTCACTTATTTCTGAATGATCACATTTCAAGAAAACTGTTATTCTTTGAAATATTCCCCGTGTTTTCCCTTCTGCTTGCAGTCCTTTCCCCAGCTCCTTAAGGTTTCTGATCCAGCAGCACCTGGAGCTCCTTCACACTCTGCAGGAGCGCGTGCTCAGGTGCCAGTGGCAAGGCATCATGGGAGATGTGTTCATGAGGCTCACCAGCAAAGAGGTAAGCACGAAATTAGACTTTGCGGAATAATGTGGAAAAACATTATTTGTTAATTTGTTTTGAAGAGCAGTCTGACCTGATGTGTGTTGTTTTAGTAGATCTCCTTATAGTGCCACGCAAAAAGCTTTACTGACTAATTTTCCCCATTTTGTCACAACAAACAACCATGTATTTCACTGGAATGTTTTGTGTAAATCAGCTTCTTCCATAATTGGGGAAAAATGTAAAAATGTTTCACTAATAAACTTTTTCAAATAATATTTGCTAATCCCGCCAAATCCAGAACTATAATTTTAATCTCCTAATATGTAGCTTTAGAAAGGAAAAAAAAAGTCATCTTGAAATAACCTAATAATCTTAAAGGCGTGGCATACCTTTGTGTTCAGGCTCAGAACAGCTGCTAGTCTGTAGGGGTGTGTCATCATCACCTTTGAAAATCTACAGACAGAACAGTTCTCTGATTCTCCATTGAACTTGTTTTATTACTTTGACTGGTCCACTTGTACGGTACGCATGAACATGCTTCGGTCTCAGCAGCTCGTCCAGTGTTGCCGTGGGCCTCTCAACTACATCTCTGATTAATTCTCATACGTGGCTTACGCACGCTCCTCACTTTTGATGATTTTTCTGTTGTTGATCACCTGGATTGGCAGAAATAATTAAGGCTTCTCCTGGTAAAATAATTGTTTTTCAGAATATTTATAACAAAATGTTATAAATGTGATGAAAAAGCAACATTTCTAGGAGTTTACAACCAAAGAAGGTGTGGCAGAAGGGGGTAAAAATCACATGAGTTGAACAAATGAAAACATTTCCTCCGCTCAGAGTGATTTCCTGGACTTCTACGTCTCCTACCTGAAAGAGCTTCCAGATTGTCTGTCCGTTGTCACCGTGCTGGCGTCCAGCTCCATGAAGTCCGCTGCTTTTGTGGATGTAAGATTACGAAAAAAAAAAAAAAATCAAACACCTTTGAATGCTTCTGTAGTGTTTGAATTATGTGAAACACTAACTTGTTTTCTTCTTGTCCTGGTTGGCCGTTTCCTGCCACCGTCAGTGTGACGTTCTGGGGGATGAATCCAGACCTTCGCTTTACACCCTGCTCCTCCAGCCAGTCCAGAGGATCCCAGAATATCTGCTGCTGTTACAGGTGGGATCTACAATGTTAGTTCATTTTAGTTACATTAGTCTTTTACTAAAAATGCAGAAAATTGTCTCATTTGAATTTAGGCACATTCATAAAGTGGGGAAAAAATATCCTACATTAGGGAAAATTGATTGCTTTTATTTCTCAAAAAAAACTAGCCCAACATTTTGGAAAAAAAAATCTTTACTTTGCTTCTTTAGATGGAGCCATGTGCTCCCTAAATATAACGTGACACACAGTTCCATTTTCCCTAGACGCAATTCAGAATGGGTATGACAAGAGAGAGCATGTCATTTCAATAACCCTGATACGTGTAGCTCTTCAAGAGCAGCGGCTCCTCCAAAAAACTGCATCTGAGGCAAAAATTTAGTTTAAACAAAGTGGAACTGTACCAGAATTGACGACCTGTATTTTTCCTGCCAACATGCAGGAATGTTACAGGAAACAAATAAAATCTCCTTGGCTCGCAGCGTTAGATCTGCAGCTAAGACTTACTGTCAAAAAGATAAACATACAAAAATCCACTGCAAGTTTAACTGGAACTTGGTGCTCTGGTCTGACTAAAGGTGAGTTAAAGGATGTTTGAATAAAAATCTGGATAGAAATCTGGTGGCCTCCGTCAGAGAACAGGAAATGGATCCTCGAGTGTTTTAACAGGAACGTGGTCAAATCAAAATAAAGCCAGTATTTTCGTGGCAAAAGGATATTAATGAAAGAATGAAAAAAGCATAATATTTAGGTATTTTTACACATGTGCACCCCTGCTTGTTTTATAAATGTGTATAATTAATCTGCATTGTTCACTTTTCCCATTACCCAACTATTAATCCACTGCAACATAACTGAAATAAACTAAACAAAATCTGGTTTAAATGTGTGTTTTCATCATTTGGTTCAGACTGAATTTTCCCTTTTGCATGTATGAACGATTGAAATGTTTATGTATATATACTGCTCAAAAAAATAAAGGGAACATTTCACTTTAATTTTGTGTGTGGCTCCAAATCCAGGCCTCCATTGGTTAATAAAGTTGATTTCCATTGATGATTTTTGTGTGATTTTGTTGTCAGCACATTCAACTTTGTACAGAACAAAGTATTCAATGAGAATATTTCATTCATTCAGATCTAGGATGTGTTATTTGAGTGTTCCCTTTATTTTTTTGAGCAGTGTATATACATTTGTAGGGCCTGCTCAGACAGACAGATGCAGATCACCCAGACTACTACCTGCTGCTGGTCTGCGTCCAGCAGTTCAGGTCCTTCACTGCGCAGTACCACCACCTACTTCAGCACAACCAGGAGCTCCTGCTGCTCAACCGCAAGGAGGTGCAGAGGTCAGAGCAAACGCCCGGCACAAAGCATCGACACAGCCAGTGGAAGATAGGGGATTATGGCTCCCCACCCAGGGAGCCACAGCCAAATGCGGTGGGGTAATCAGTCAGCTGAACTCCAGACAGAAAAAAACATGACTGTACACCAGAGCTGAAACATTAAACTTAATGTTGGTATTTAATGTTATTATTATTAGGAATCTGAACTGCAGTTCACCTAAAACTTTACATTTTAAAATGTAAAATACTTAATTCGTTTAAATCTGAAATGGTTTTTCCACACAAAACACAAAACTTCTTAAATACAGTTCTGCATTTGTGATGCCTTTTATTCAATTTGTGAAAAACAATAATAATAAAAAAAGTATTTTCAAAACTTGTCAAGATAAAGTAAAAATAGAAACAGAAACCCCTGATTGTGTTGGACTGTTTCTGGAATGTTGCACATCTGGCACTTTCCAGAACTAACTCTTAATTATATTTTTACTTGCTTATTTTTATGTTGCTTGAATCTTAAATCTCAAATCCATCCATCCACCCCCACATGTATGAATGGATAAGAAGGACGGATTCACCAGGGGCATATTTTATGCAAGAACTGGCACTGTCAGGTGGATACATTTAATTTATTGCCTTTAAAATAAAGGTTTACATCTGTTTGTCCAATCTGCTCTGCTCCACCAGCAGGTCCAACATGAAGCAGCTGTTAAAGACGGTGGAGGGAGGGATTCAAACTAACAACATTGGTTCACCTTATCCTGGCAGTAATGCAATGCTGTGAGTGTTTCAGCTGCTTCGCTTTTCATTCTTATGTGATGACAGCAGATTGATGTGCTGCCTGTTCCAGATCTCTGGCTCATCCTTCAAGCAAGTTTTAATGACCTTTTCTCCTCAACAGGGAGCATGCTAACATGGTGAAGCGTCGGAAGCAGTGTCTCCTGGAGCAAATTCAGTCCCACCGCTTCCAGGATTGGGATCACAGTCAAGATGCACAGAGTCACTGCTATAACGCAGAGTGGCCATCCCAGGTGCCGTTCTTCAGCCACAATCTGGACTCCCGGAATCCAAAACAAACGGGTATGTGGTCGAAAGAGCTGCTGGCTATTGTGTCTGGTCAACTTAGTCTGCAACTTAGTTAAGCAAGATGAAATAAATTGAGAGAAGTTGATGTCCGGTCAAATATGTTTTCTATGTCTTTCCCGTCCACGTTCATGCTGACTATCCCAGCAAAAGTATATCTGAGCACTATTGAGTTTGACTAATGGCCAACACAGTGCCAAAACCCAGTGACACACCACCACCGAATAAACTTGTTTAATTTAATTCCAGCAATTAACTAAAAAACAAACACATTGCTCATAATGGAGAAATTCAATAACAGATGCGTTATAAATCTTTACCCTCAGAAAGGCTTGATTAGCCATTTCAAAAACTTTGAGACTCCACTGATCCTCAGTAAAACCCATTATCCACGAATAGAGAAAATATAGGACAGTGGTGAACTTGTGTCATTTGCAGACTTGGGTGAAGTTTCTTCTGTTTGGTCTTTTCTGTTGTGGAATGTCATTAGAGGAGTGTTTCTCGATTCCAGACTACTGCCCTACATATTTTAGATGTGTCTCTAATGTAGAACATCTAATTCAATGATTCCATGATCTCCTCTGCTGAGGAAGTTTGTTGCTCACCCACTTCTTCAAGTCATGTGTGTGGCAGAAGGGAAGCACCTAAAACATGCTGGGCAGTGGTTCCTGAGGACCGAAACTGAGAAACACTGCAGTAGAGTAACTCTCCAGTATGCCTTTGGCAGTCTAGTAAGCTGATTGACCAACATTGGGCCTCTAGGTCTTGGCAGTATCCCAGAAAGCGAGATGTCCGAGGGGTCACGTCAGCACAATCAGGTGCCCACCAGGCCGGCTGAATTTCGTCAGGTTCAGCCCGGCTCGGCTCTGGCTGATGCCCTCGGGGAGTTCCTCCTTCCTCCCGACCCTCCAGGGATGGAGAGTCTCTATGACGAAGATGGGGTCTCCCTTCATGACACATCTTTGTTCGACCACTGTTCATCGGCGTCCTCGGACTCCTCTATCGACATCGCCTTTGTGAAGTGCCCCAAAGTCCCCCAGGGATCCCATCACGCGGTGGCAACCAATGTGCCGACAAACCGAGATGTCTTTGGCAACGGAGGAAGCCCAGGTAATGGTTACAGCAAACTGCCCAACCGGGGTTGTGTGTCACCAGATGAAGCTGTAATGACAAGACGCAATCTCCATCGGCCACTTCAAGCCAGCCAGCGTAAGAGTAAGGTGAGTGCATTGAAGTAGATTCATCTTTTGGTCAACATGCACATCCCCATACATACACTTTTTGCTTCTTCTCTGCTGTAAAGTCACTAAATGGCCTGCAGATGGAGAACACAGTGAGTGGTCTGGATGTGGGACCACTTTCAGACCACCTCCAGAGAGTGGGACTGAGCAGCCACGCCAAGCTGGAGCGTCAGGGCAGTAAGGGCAGTAAATGTTCCACCCCGTCGCATAAAGTCCACAGTCCCCTGGGGAACACGGACAAACAGAGTCCAGATCTGCACGGACTGCTCAACATTGTGGGTATCACAAGAAATATAAGTGAGCAAATTCAAGTGCAGTCAGGTGTGATGTTTGATATGAATGGAATCGCTTTCTATCTAGGGTGGCAAAACCCTGGGCAGGCAAGAGAAAAGGGGGGAAAAGGAGCTACACAATATTGCCAATACTGTCCACCCTTCCAAATCAGAGAGTTCTATTCATTTTCGTGGCCTCAGGTGTATATGCCACTAGCATAAAGTTTTACAAACAATTGTAAAAGAAATGGTTGCTCTCAGAAAATCACAGAATTGAATGACAGTAACTCGGCTACAAAGCAGTAGGCCATAATGTCACGGACCAGGGCAACCGGATGATGACATTTTGATATCAGTGGTGATTTAAAGGGAAAAACCATAATCTGTTTTTGTCTTCCTATGTTTTTTTTATGAGTGAATAAACTAAATAAATCCTTGTTTTTAACCTAAGCAGGACTCAGGCATCCAGTCATGGGCTGACGAATCAAAATGGAGGAGCACAACAGAGGAAAATAATCACACCCCCTTCAGCGAGAGGAGTCGCAAGGACAAGGGAGGCTTCAGGAGCTCGTTCAAGAAACTCTTCAAAAAGAAGTAGGCATGGTTATTTACCACCGATACTCTGTGCTGCGTGAGTTTTAAAAGGGCAAAACAAATATTAGAAAAGATGTCAAGACAGGACAAATAATGTCAGTGAAAGTATAAATAAATATTGTGCCATCATGAGCACCTGATAGAAGATATTTTCTTAATCTTTTTTTTTTGTCTTCCAAACAGGACTGCTGATGAGAAGAAGGAGAAGGGAGGAGAAAAGACACCAGAAAATCAAAACAGTGAACATGAAACGTCGATGAAAACTCCCAGACTGGTTCACCTGGAGATAAACCGTGGCACAGCTGTATAATTTGTGCTTAGTATGCATTTCCCTGTTTTGTAAAAACATTGTATGAGCTACACAGCAACTTTCCACAAACTGAAATGTGTTTTTTTTTCTTCTGTCCTACCCCACGCCCAGCCTTCAAACTGAAGGAAAGCACTAGTTCAAATACCAGTGGTATTTTTTTTTTATTTAAACAAAACCACAAAATATGCTAAATTCAGCTGTTTTAAATTCTTTGCAACATTAGAGACTGATTTAATAGCGTCAAAATGACGAGATGTAATTTTGTTTAGTCAGCTTGCGCTTTCATCCCATGATTGTAATCAATTACAATTTTCTTTTGTTGCTTTTGTCCAACTAATCCATTCATGCCAGTTTCAGCCTTTTAATCAGTAGGTTGTTTTAAACTCAAACTATAAATTCCAGACATGACTCCTCTGTTCATCTTAGTTACGCTATACTCATAATTACTGCAATATACTCAGGAAACATTAACAGCTACAATGTTTGTTTGTATGGGCTTACAATGCTTATTTAAATACACTATGTAGAAATTACAATGTTCTTTGTGTTTTTCCTGCACTAGATTTATCTCGAGAGAAATAAGCTCAATAAAAGTTCTCACTGGCTATTTTTCTGGCGATCAGCTGGTCGTTGAATTATTGTAACACTAAAAGATGCTAACATCTATTAGCATTTTGCAACCTGAAACTCTTCAAATTTGAGAAAACAAATGTTTTCATAATCCTTGAACTTTTGCCTACTTTGTTTTGTTATAACCATAAACTTTAATGTATTTTAGCAGGATTTAATGTGGTATACCAGTGCCGAGTAGTGCATGACTGTGAAGTGAAACATAAAAAATAAATAAATGAGTTTTGATTAAGTTAAGCAAACAAATAATAATAAAAAAAAAATCTCAAAAGTGTGGGCAACTTGATCTCTGATAACACATTGCTGTGTTCAAAGTTTTAAAACGCACAAATACTTTTGCAGTATTTTAAGGTAGCGCAAATGAACAAAGCACAAGATACCCGGAAGCTTCAGTTCCTTCTTTTTAATGTGTTAACCTGTCATCTCATAAATCTGTTACACTTCTGAAACAAAATATAGGCAATTATACAGTATGTAAAACAAACCCATTTTTATTTTACACTATTTACACTTTATAACGTTTGCATTGCATTATGAAAACAAAACAAAAACAAGAAGTGATGCGACAGAGGAGACGTCCCCTGCTTTTTTTTTTTTTTTTTTTTTTGCTCAACATCGGAAAGGAGACGAGGATCAAACGGCGTTTGGGGAAAAACTTGAAATACTTAACACTGATCAGCTAATGAGCAGCAGACAGGTGACGCTTCCAAAGAACGAAATCCCAAGGCGATGATATTTATGCCACTTAGATCTTTTTTCATCCAGAAAATTCACATATCTGGTACGGAAAACAAATCAAAAAGCAGATTAATTTTACAGGATACTTGACTCAAGTTGAGCAGATGCTGTTGGAAGATTTCACCTGGTCTCAGCATTTATAGGGTCGTTCACAAGAGGGAGGAAGCTTGGAAACAGCATAATGTAATCGAACATGAACTCTTGATGGACATTTTCCCACGTCTGTTACGGTTAAAAGTCACGAAAAAGAAAAAGAAACAACATGAAGCAACCGAAACAGTTTGGTCAAGAAAATCCACAAGCGATTCTAAAAAGAAAATCAGGTGCACCGAAATAAATTCAGGCAAAAAAAAAAAAAAAAGAGAAAGAAAATTACGAGACAATATGTAGGTGCTGTGAAATGTTTGAGAATTTAAAGAGATTTAGACATGATTTGTTCAACACAAACCAGCTGAGATTGGACTTTTTATTTCTGTTGAAATCTAAGATAAATCACGAGGTAGACTATCTAAATATGGCCACAAGGTTTAAGTGATATATTAAAAAATATATATATACATATCTCGTCTGACAAAAGAAACCCCAATGTTATTTAATCGGTTTTTTATTGTTTGCTTTTTTATATATGGTTTTAAGTGTAAAAGGAACTCTGTAAATTAAACTGAGGCTTAAAATTGGATTTAGAATAAGTTTGGCATCTATCTCTTCAATGAGTGTCTCCAGTTAATGAATTTTAAGAAGAAAAAAACCCCCTGTGAAAATAAGATGGTGTGTTTAAATGGAACTTGAGGAAAGTTTCCTTTAATAAACAAATCCCACATGTCCAGGCAAAGATAGATTATTTTCTCTCATTTTGGGGGCTTTTCTTTTTATAGGATTTTAAAAATAATCTACTTGCTTAACTTCTAGCTTTTTTAAACACATTTTGTCTGCTACTAGAAAAAGACAATCTTCACTCTGTAGTTATTTCTAACCATATCCGTATTTAGTTGCCAGCACAGATGACGTCCGTCCAGAATTTCCCCTCCCAAAAGTTGAAACAGCAAGTTTCATCGGCTATGAGGAGCAGTAAGCCTCAGAAACACACCAGCAGGGGGCAGCAGAGGTCTTCCAGCTGCTTTGTCGAGGCCGGAAGTGGTTTATTAGCTAAACGAAGGGGTTTTTACGTCTCGTCTTGCGTGCCTCTCTTTGGACATAGAGATGAGGATTAGAATTTCACAAAGCTAAACATGGCGCTCCTTTAGTTTCCATAGAATGTTTTTATATATAAAGACATTTTCGTGGCAAGGAAAAGGCTTAAAAACGTCTTTCTTCAGCCAGCTGACGATCAGCGTGAAAAAAATAATAAATTAACTACACCTACTTGTTGCTGGCCCATGCCTATGGGTGAATACACATCTGAAGTCAATTTACGTGTGTTTATCGGACATGAGATAAGCCGGGAGAAAATAGTAGAGTGGACTTCAGCTGTGGGTAGTTTTATCAGAAACCGCAATGCTCCTGACGAGAACAGAAGAGTTTTTGGACGTGGCACGTTGGAGTGTTGACGGTGTGGGTTGGTCATATCAAAACGGAGGAGAGTATTTCGTTGTCGGTGATGCAAGTTGCCTTTCACGAGATCAACTAAGTTATTTCTGTGTAAATTATTAATTTATTGGGTTATATTTATTTGTTGCTGCTCCTTCAAAGTGACCTCAGCCAGATTAACCAGACCGGCACACCACACGCTTCCATGCTCATACAGGCATCTACAGGCACACACTGTGCATACACACGCTATCATGACATCACATTTGTTTATGAAACACATTTCGTCTCCTTGTGCAAATTTCAAATACCAGTGGTTCAATAAAATACATGGAAATAATAATGATAAAACAAACATAAAAAAAGGACAAATATTTCTGAATAAAACAGCGTTAAAAACTGAAAGGGGGCAGAACTCCAAGTGATGAGGCAGGAAATGATGCATGCAGGATGAAAAACGAGCATCCGCATCCTGCGTGTGTTCGTCGGGATCTCTTTGCGGGAAATGTCCGATTACTGAAGCCGTCCAACCTGAAGAGAACCGAACCTCGCCACAAACAAAAAAACAAGAAATTTGAGAATCTGTGACTCCTCTATGTCTCCACGGTTCGACAGAGCAGCTATTGACACACGTATATACACAACCAGACTTTTTCTTTTAGTGTTCGACTTTACCATTAAAAAAATGTATTTACAAAGAATTAAATAAAGGTTTAATAAGCACTTGTGTGGTGTAGTGACGGGTACTGGGGATTTATCCTTAGCGAAAGTGGTAAAAAAAAAAGAAGATTTTAGTCTGGTCTCTCTTTTTTTGAGTTTTTTTTTGTGGGGGTCTTTAAAACAAACATTTTACGACAAATGAAGAAAGTCGTCCTTGTTAATAAAGTTACGCCATGCCACAATAAATAAAGGGACAGTTAAAACAAAAGAAATGGAGGAGGAAAGAAAAAAAGGGGGTCAGAGGTGAATTTCTGGGGCATAATGGCCCTTCTATGAAGCTTCGGCACAAACAGCAGTAGTATTACAAGTAGAACTAGTGTAGCATTGGTGTGTTTTCTGGATGTTTCTATACTCCATGTGCAGTCTTGCAGGGAAAGGTTGGAAGCTGCGTCTTCACGCCGAGTGTTTAGACTCTTTGCTTTGACATAAACAAATCCAAGAGAAGTCCCTTCCCGTCCTCTCCCCGAACTAACTAACACCTTTCACATACACACACACACACTGATGCAGTTTTAAAAGGGTGCAAACATCTGCATTCACAAATTCTCCTAGTCTCCCGGTCACGTTACCAAGCAGGCGGGCGAGGGGGTTAAGCTGCGGTGCTGGGATGAAAGCGACTACCGGCTCGTTTCGTTGCTCCCTTGTCTGCGGTAGCGGTCGGGTGTTTAGACGGCGCTGCGGCGATGGTGCGAGGGCGGGGTGGGGACTCAGTAGCTGTTCTCGTGGCCCGCCAGGATGTAGAGGTTGCTGTGGGCTGTGGGGTTGTCCGTCGGCCGGCTCTCCAACACCACCACCCTGAAACACACGCGGTTCAATTAAATAAATAGATTAAAAAATAAAAAAAAAACAAGAATATGGTGCGATTTCCCATGAATCAAAAGAGTAAAAGGAATGATAAAGAAACAGGATTTAATGTAGAAACATCCGGTCAATCAGCAACCCATGGAGAAATCGGCTGAAGGATGTTATTTGGAGGAGGGAAAAAAAACGGCTCGTCACCCCAAACGACACCTTGAACAGAGTAATAGATTTGTATCGTCATATATCATCCCGTATTTGGACTCAAGAGGGTCAGCAGTAAGGTAGTAGACACCAGAATCTTCCAGAACGTTTAAGAGGAATTTGTTAGGAATCCCGAAAGAACAAAAAAAAAAAAAAAAAAAGCCGGTGAGCGGTGCTTGTACCTGGGCAGAGAGCGGCCTCTGTCCTCAGAGTCTGGGTCTCTACCATCAGCTCGTCTTCAGCGAGAAGGCAGCAGAGAGGATGTTAATGGTGTGTTTGTGTGTGGATGGTGAGTCAGACTTTACCTACTTAAAGAAATGCTTAAAAGTTGAACAGAAATTTCTACATTTGTTCCCAACTTATTATCGTTTGTTTTTTTACAGAACCTCTTTTCTAGTCATAGTTTTATGTTTGGGACGTGTTGTGTGTTCTGATATGGCACATCGATGAGGACTAGAGCTTCTCTTAAACTGGTTTAAGAGAAGCTGCAGCACCATGCAAAAGTAATCATATCCTGTGAACATTTTGTCATATTACAACTACTTCAATGCAGTTTAGTGAGATTTTGAGTGCATTTCAAGCTGGAGGCATCCATTTTCAATTGGTTCAAGTCCTGACTTTGGATGGGCCATTGTAAGACATGAAGCTACTGTAATCCAAATCATTGGTCTCCAAAGTCAAACCTCAAGGTCTGTTTTCTGGATTTATGAGTGTTTCAGTTAAAGGGAGCAAGGGCGTAGGTTCGGTCTAAGTTTTGG